GTACGTGGAATGTTCACCAGCATACATCATATGTTACTTGTAAATAAAATCCCAGTAAATTTAAAATGATTATAATCTTACAGAATATATTTTATGATCACAGGGATTCAGTCAGATTTAGTAACAGATTTCTGGAAAGTGACCATTTGGAAATTTAACAATGTATTTATGGCCTATGTGTAAGCGAAGACATCATAAGGGAAATTGCAAACATTTTGAACTGAATGAAAATGGAAAGACAGCACAATTTATGACATGGAGCTAATGTAGTGAATATAGAGAAACTTACAGTTTAATGTTTTTATTAGAAAGGGGCAATGAGCAAAATCAGTGCTATAAGCTTCCACCTGGAAAGCTTAGAGAAAAATAAGTGTAAATGAAAAAAAAAAGTAATTAGAAGGAGGAATATAATAAAGGTAGGACAGAAATCAAAATCACAGAAATGGATGGACAATTAAGAAAATCATTGAAACCATAAGTGGTATCTTGATAAGATCAATAAAATTGCTAATTGCTAACATTTTAGCTGGACTGATTGATGAAAAAGGAGAGGAGATACTTAAACCAGTATTGGGAATGAAAGGGGGATATCACTACAGATTCTACAGACATTAAAGGCAAATATGAAAAATTTTTGAACAGCTTTATGCAAATAGTATAATTTAAAAGATATGAATGGCCAAAAGTGACTTAGTTAAGAATTAGATAACCTGAATGTTTTATATTGATTTAAAAACCCAATTCATAATTTAAAACCTTGCCATCAAGAAGACTCCAGGCCTGGTTTATAGTTAATAAATAAATAGTAAAATATGCAAACTCAGAAAATAGAGAATAGCTCACTTCTCGCTTTGCTTTTTGAGGCCACCATTACTGTTACCATAAAAAAACAAAATAGAGACATTTCAATAGAAAGGATGCTAACAGTCATTAATCATCAAAGAATTGAAAATTACAACAACTTTGAGATACCCATTCATTAGAGTGCTAAAGCTAAAAAAAAAAAAAGATTGACAGCGTCATGCGTTGATAAGGCTCTGGTGCAACTGGACTTCTTGTATATTACTAGTGGAAATGTAAAAAATCTAAAAAAACAATGTAAAAGACTACAGCCATTTTGCAAAACAACTCTTTCATTTCTTAAAATTTTAACGACAAACCAAAACAACTCTACCACTAAACCCAGTGATTACACTCTTACATACTTATTAGGGAGAAGTGATAGCGTATTTATAAAATAAAACTTATACATGCATGTACATATCAGCTTTATTTATAATAGCCACACATCCTAAACAACCCATATGTCCATCAACATGAGAATTGATAAACAATTTGTCATGTGTCCATATAAGGGAATACATCTCCACAATTAAAATGAAAATACTAACCGATACGTGTAACAACATGAATGAATCTCAGACTGTTTGCTGGTAAAAGAAGCGAGATACAAAAGAGTATATGTTTTGTGATTCCATTTAGACGCAGCTCTAGAAAAGACAAATCCTTTGACAGCTAAATAAATTTGATTGGCAGTAAGCCTGTTTAGAAAGACTTTATTTCCAGGTGGCATCCCTGGCATTTTCTACCAAATATTCAAGCAAGACATTCTATATTTTTCATTTTTCCCAGGTGTTAAAGAAAAAGAACATTATCATTCATTTTATGAGGGTAGCACAACATTAATATAAGAACCTGATAAGCACAAAAGAAATTTATAGACCAGTTTCATTGGTGACCATAGATGCAGTAATTTAAAAGAAACTGTCAGGACAGGAAACCACCAAAAATACCTCATGATAATGTTGGCTTTTCCTAAAGACAGGAAAAGTTTGGTTTAACATATATACTAGATAAAGGAAAAAATGATGCGATTATTGGAATAGGGATCCCTGGGTGGCGCAGCGGTTTAGCGCCTGCCTTTGGCCCAGGGTGCGATCCTGGAGACCCGGGATTGAATCCCACGTTGGGCTCCCGGTGTATGGAGCCTGCTTCTCCCTCTGCCTGTGTCTCTGCCTCTCTCTCTCTCTCTCTGTGACTATCATAAATAAATAAAAATTTTTAAAAAAAGATTTAATTATTGGAATAGATGCAAAATAAATTTGATAAAATTCGTCATTTGTTGATAGTAATAAAAACTCCTTTGCAAGCTAGATGTTGAAGGAACTTCTGTAAGGTGATAAGTGGTGTTTATATTAAGACTTATTCATTTATTTGAGAGCATGCATACATACTTGTGTGCATGTGCAAGTAGGGGAGGGGCAGAGAGAGAGAATCTCCAGCAGACTCACCACTGATCATGGAGCCCAACATGGGGCTGGATCCCATGACCATGATGAGATTATTGCCTGAACTGAAATCAAGAGTCTAGCTTAACCAACTGAGCCATCCAGACAACCCAAGTGCTGTTTATTTTAAAAAGAATATAGCAAACATTGTATTTAATGATGAAATTTTGAATGCCTTCCCATTTAGTTTGGGCGTATATAGTTAAAGCTTAAAAATAAAACTGCCAGTTATTTTACCAGCAAAAGATAGATTTTATTCAGGAGTAGTAGAAAACTGCCATCCTGGACAAGCAGGCTATGGAAAACCATAGGCAAGTCCCCTAAGCAAGTTTCTTTATAAAAGGAGGGAAGTTGGGTGGGCTCTTGTAAACAAAAAGTCCATTGGTTATGCTATATGTTGGCAAATCGAACTTCAATAAAAACAAATGGGAAAAAAAGTCCATTGGAACAAACTAGAAGTTCAAAATGTAGTGGTCTTTCATTGGCAGAGTGACAGCCTCTCATTGGCTGAACTGCTGCCCCTTAGGAGGAAAGCCTTTTTTCTCCTTCTGGGATAGTCAGGTAGTAGTATCCTCATGCAAGGTCCCTCCCTGTCTTCCTTTGGGTCTACAACTGACGGCTCTTGGTAGGATGTGAGAGCTCCCCCTGCCGGCCTCCCGACTCCAAAAAAGAGATTTCCTTTTATTTTCACAAAGTCAAGGATATCTGCTGTCCTCACTAATTTTCAGCATAATATGGAGATCCTAGCCAAGGCAGTAAGGCAAGAACAGAAAACAAAAAGAAAGCAGTAAGGATTGGAAAGGGAAAAACAGAACCACCGTATCTATAGATGATATATTTGTGTATGTAAAGAATATCAAGATGAATTATTAGAGAATTTAGCAATGTTGCTAGATACAGAGTCAATATACAAATTAGTTATGTTTCTGTTCACCTACAAGAAACAATTAAAGATACCATTTACAGTAGCACCAATACTATATACTATGAATAAATCTTAACAGGATATATGTTAAGATCTTGATCATATCTAGGGAGGAGCTGAGAAGCCCAATAGAACAAACATGTAGGTCCTTGTTTGCTGCCTCTTTTCACACTTAAATCTAGGAAATGTGCAGCATTTAAATTCAGTAGGCTTATATAGGGAGGGGCTATATGTTTTGTCCAATATAAGACAGAATAACATCTTAAAATAGTTGTTTACAGTATTTTTGGAGCACATTGATAAATAGAATATCTTAGTAATAGAGATTTGGGACTCTTTCAGTCTGTCTTTACCTAATATGAGTCTTATGTAAAAAAAATATAGCGTCCTTGAAAGCTCTCTCTGATGATGGTTCATTCACTTTTCTGCCTGAAATTTCCACTCTAGGAACTAGTACTGATTCACTTCACAAAGATTTTTATTAAATACATATTTACCAAGTACCATGATAATAAGTACCTTATTTTGTCAAAGCTAAGACATCATTAATTTTAAGTTGCATCATTTCATGTTCTGCTAACTGAAAAAATATTGCCACTCTTTGGCTATAACACACCATTGATTTTATTTTTTTTACTTTATATACATATTTTTTAAGATTTTATTTATTTATTCCTGAGAGACACAGAAAGAGAGAGGGGCAGAGACCCAGGCAGAGGAGAAGCAGGCTCCATGCAGGGAGCCCGATGCGGGACTCGATCCCGGGACCCTGGGGTCACACCCTGGGCCGAAGGTGGTGATAAGCTGCTGAGCCACCCAGGGATCCCCACCATTGATTTTAATGTGCATCTTGATTTCAAAGATGTTAGAATGTTTTTTTAAAGCATTTTATGATTTATTAAACATTTCGATAGAAGTATTTCTACTGTTTTACAATTTAGGAACACCACTAAAAAACAAACTACTTTACTTTTAATTTTTCATACCTGTTGTGATACCTTTTTTTCTTCCCTCATTTAAGCATTCTTAAATTAGTTCCTTTTTTTTGGTTTCTTAGTTATTTTGCCATCCTGGTCATTTTTCTTGGAATGCCTTTTACTTTATCTGTAAGCTGCTTAAAACTGAATAAGATACAGGCTTCAAAAAGAAGACAGTAAAATATTCAAATCTGTATATCCAGAAGGTAAAACACTTTTGCAAATTCATGATTCTTGTTAACTTGACAAGATTTTCAGTATTTTTTTCCTTAACACAAAGTAGTCCATAGCCATGAACACATTGTGTTTTAATTTTTATAACTACGTAGGTTTAAATTTGTACGTCATACTGGTCACAGCAAGATTTTCTCCCCATTGATACTCATTTACTCATAATTAGAGTTAAAGATGCTACTTTCTTTTAACGTTTTTTGATACAAATGTAAACTGGAATGTAATACGTGTCTTTTTTCATTCTTCTCCTCTACAAAGTTATTACCCAAAAAATCAGTCTATAACATTTCAACCTCGGAATATTCTAAATAACAAAGCTATTTACTTGTTTAGTAGTGAATATTTATGTTTGAATATTTTAAATTCTTCACAATCACATAATTTCTGATAGTCATTGTGTGATTGTTTACTCTTTTGTGTATTGCCTAGTTCAGCTTAAATGACCTAAAAGAAAAATGACCCCTCATAGTTAAATTTATAACTCTCTAATTCATTTGGATATATGGTTTTAATTTGATTATTATGAAATTAAACTTTTCCAGTAGGTTATATACTTTTCTCTCTTTTACAACACAGGTTTTGAGAGTATTTTAGAAGGGCTTTATGGACCACGGCTACGAAGAGACCTCAGTTTATTTGAAGGTAATGCTTTTTAAATTGTATTTTAAAATTCTGACTTTCCATCCCATTTAATAAATGAAAGGCGGTGGTTCTGTGCTAACTTTATATTAAACATGAATTTGTGGTCTTGTTTAATTAGTGACTTTTTAACTAAATAAAGTGATCCAAATATTGTTTTTGTTATTACATAATGTTATCATAACCTTTTAAAATACTTAATACATTGATCAAAAAGGAATGTGAAACTTCTTTTTGACTTAATGGTGAAATTTAATTTTTGTTATATATTACGTACCCTCATTTATTCTTAAAGAAGTTTTAAAAGGGTTCAATTAAGTAAATATTTCCTGTTGTTCATGAGACAGGCAGCCTGGAAACCTCAGATTGTCACTCTGAGAAATCCTACCATGTGTGTTCAGAGTCTTCTATTTATATATAATACTATTTGTTATTTATTAGCCACTTCTTTCAAATGCTATAGCATAAATCCTAGTGGAAGATTTTGATTTGTCATATAATTTCTATGATATCATAGTTTAGTTGTTTTATTGCTTGCTTGGAAATACACAATAGTAGGAGAACATTTTTGTAGACTTCTAAAATTTTGTACTCCAGTTTATTTACAGAGTAAGTAATGGTAGTATAAATTTTTACTTTGATTTTGATTGAATTATTTCTGAATCTTCTATCTGGTCAGTTTTATGTCCTAACTCTAGTACCTTCTATTCGACTGTGTACCTTCCATTCTACCAAGACCCCAGGTCTCTAAAGGTCCTTATTTTTCTGTATAAATACATCTTTGAGTTGAGGGAAAGATGATGGGAGTTGAGGCAGTGATGGTGGAGTAGACAAAAGTTTTCTGGCCATTCTTTATTAATATTGAGCAGGATAATTGAGTTATACATCAGATCTGAAAGTATTTATGCAAGATCATTTGTCCCAACCACCTCTCTTCACTGAGATGAATTGATATCCATGTAGAACATGACTTTAAGAATGGAGACTCCAAAATGTGCTTGTTCTAGGGTTTTATCATTCGTATAGCTAAGATCATTTTTTTATTTCTCTTAACTTTATTCATTTCTCATCTTATCATAATTCAGCACTGGATTAAGTATTTTTACCTGATACATTTTTAGCAATACTGATCAATTGTAGTTCCACCTATTTTTCTGAGCTTAAAAATGAACAGAGGAAAAATATTTTAAAAAAACAAGAATTTAATCTAAGCCTGACATTTCTTCAGACTTCCTTTCTTAACCTGCTGCCCTCATTCATGTCAGAAGTAGCATTATATTTGCCTTCTGACAACCCAAATTATAGCTTGTGACTCAGCCTGTTGTTCCCCCACTTTTGTTTATTTATATAGTTGCATATATATGTATATACCTATGTTCCTTCAAAAATTGTTTATTATACAAACAGCAGAATGTTCTAAGGAAATAAATGCTTTGTATTTTGTTTGTAGACTAGCATTTCTTTAGTATACAAGTTGTACATGTTTATTTTAGGAAATTCAAAAATAGAGATAAACCAGAAAGAAAAAATTATCCCTATTCACACGATCCATAAGTAATTTTCAAACAATTTTATATGATGTAAGGTATATGTGTGTATTCTTTTATTATAGTAGTATATAGTATATGCACCCTATGTACAATTTCTTTGTCTGCCTTGTTCACTGGTATATCATTTGGGTTTATAAAGTCTAGATCATCTTTCTTAATGGCTGCACAGTATTTCGTTGTAGATCTATCTATTTATAATTAATTTACTTAATTTAACAACCTATTGCCATATATGTCATTCCATTTGTTTAAGTTCAGATAGGTCTTGTACTTTATGTCCTTTTGAAAAAGCGCCTTTTTTTGTTTGTTTGTTTTTGGTGGAGAGAGCTAACAAAATTGGCTAAGCTTTGAAACTTGCATATAGACACATATCCGTTCCCTTTTTTCACCCCGAATATTCTTTCTCCAGATTTCTCAGGTAAATTGTTTCTCCAGGTTTCTTAGGTAAATTCTTCCTCCTTTTAGTTCCTTTTTTGAATTTAAGAAAAGCTTCTAATTAAATTGTAGACTTAAGTATGATGATATTAATTATAGCAATAAATCTGTAGCTATGCAAGGATGAAGACAGCTCTACATTTTGAAGGAAAATTAAATCAGTGCTATCAAAGTGTAGAACCTCTTGAAAAGGCATGTAGAAACTACCCATTATCTCCAGCTTCTCTCTTATCCTCTTATAAATAAGTGTGCTTTCTTTGTTGTTGTCATTGTTAAAAATGGTTTAATGTTTAGATGCTTGGGACTCTAAGTATAGGGGTTTCTCACTATACAAGTCTGTATGCAAGAATCAAATAGATTACTGTATATTTTTTGATAAATCATTGGAAGTCTGAACTCTTGTTAACTGACTTTCCAAAACTCAGAAACTAGTATATTGCATAGCAAAGGATCCCCGTATATTACTCTAAATTATTTTTGTTATAAAATTAAATGCATAGTATTTTAATTTTATGATACTTAATTTTGCATAGTATTTTAATTTTATAATACATTAATTTAAATAGACTATATTGCATACCTATTACTGTTTCTGTGGAAATTAATATTCTAAATTTCGTACTGCTACCTTAAAAAATCAAGTGTGGCACAGAGCATGTTTTTAAGACTTTTATATCATATACATTAGTGTCTTGAGAGGTATTTTAATTCCTGAATTTGATTCAGAACCACCTCCAGGTTGAATAGTTTGAAGGAAGCTTTTGAGTGGTGCTAATTTTTATTTTGTTGGAAACTAAACAGAGCCCTAGTTTTTTATCTTCTTTGATATGTTTCATGACTTTCTCTCCTTTTGGGGAAAATATAACTATTGTTTTTGGGAGGGGGGAGGTCTCCAAAGAAGGTTTGAATGTCATAAACTTCAAACTTTTATGTATGCCCAGAAAAGTTCCTCATACTCTTTGCCTCTCTTCCTCTGTCTTTCCAAAATTTATTTTTCCTCCTGCTACAGAACTTTTAAGCAAATATTCCCTCTTTTTTTTCCTGCTTTAGCCAGTCCTTTTTCATATCTTATTTGTGACTGGTTTCTTTCACCTGTAGGATCATCTGATACAGAGGTCTGCAAGCTATAGCATGTGGGCCAGATCCAGCTTGTTTACTGTTTCTGAATGGCCTGTGAGCTAAAAATAATTTTTACATTTTTAAATAGTTGAAAAAAATCAAAAGAAGATTAATATTTTGTGACATATGAAAATTATGTGAAGTTCAAATTTAATTGTCCAGTTAAGAAGGTTTTATTGAAAACAGCCCCTCTCATTTGTTGAGACATTGTCAATGGCTGCTTTCATACTGCAGCAGTAGAGTTGAGTGGTGTAGCAGATAGTATGGCCAGCAAAACCTAAAATACCTACTATTTGGCTGTTAATAGAAAGATTTGCTGACCCCTGAGTGTACCACTGACTGAAATTTAGTATCTTTTTAACTTAGTATCTTTTTTCAACTGTAAACACTATGGATGGAGACAACAAAACTACTTTTTACATAAGATTTATTAGGTAAAACATTATAAACAATTTTTTATGAGTATGGTTGACACACGATGTTCCATTGGTTTCAGGTGTGCAGCATAGTGATTCAACTTCAGTACGTATTATGCTGTGCTCACCGCAAGTGTAGCTGTCATCTGTCACCATACAATGCTACTACAATGTCATTAACTATATGCCCTATGCTGTGCGTTTTTTATTCCTGCGACTTACTCATTCCATAACTGGAAGCCTGTTATCTTCCATTTCTCTTTGTCCATTTTGCCCATCCTCTCACCCATTTCCCCTTCCCTCTGGCAACCATCGGTTTATTCTGTGTATTTATAGGTCCAAGTCAGCTTTTAGTTTACTCATTTGATTTTTTTTTAGATTCCACATAAATGAAATCATTTGATATTTGTCTTTCTCAGTTTGACTTATTTCACTACATTAAACTATACTGTCCATCTATACTGTCACAAATGTCACAGGCTCTCTCTTTTTTTTTTTAGGCTTTGTGATATTCCATTGTGTGTGCATGTGTGTATATCATCTTGCATCTTCTTCATTCATCTATTGATGAATACTGAGGCACTTCCTGTATCTTGGTTATTGTAAATAATGCTGCAACAAACATAGAGGTGCATGTATCTTTTTGAATTAGTGTTTTTGTTTTCTTTGGTTAAATGCCCAGTAGTGGATTTGTTGGATCATATGATATTTCTATTTTTAATTTTTTGAGGAACCTCCATACTACTTTTCACACTGGTGTACCAATTTGTCTTCCCACTAACAGCAAGCATACAAGGGTTTCTTTTTCTCTACATGCTCTCCAACTCTTTTTTTTTCCAAGTCTTTATTTGGATTCTAGTTAGTTAACATAGAGTGTAATATTAGTTTCAGGTATAGAATTTAGTGATTTATCACTTACATACAATAACCAGTGCTCATCACTCTCTCCTTAATACCCATCACTTACTTGCCTTTTTGATGTTAGCCATGCTGATAGATATAAAGTGATATCTAATTGTGGTTTTCATTTGCATTTCCCTGATGATGAGTGATATTGAGCATCTTTTCATGTGCCTGTTGGCCATCTGTATTTCTTCTTTGGAAAAATATCTATTTCGGTCCTCTGCTCATTTTTTAGTTGGTTTTTGTGTGTGTGTGTGTGTGTGTGTGTGGGTTTTTTGTTTTGTTTTTTGTATTGCATTGAATAAGTTCTTTATATATTTTGATTGTTAACCTCCTATCAGATAGATTATTTACAAATATCTTTTCCCATTCAGTAGGTTGCGTTTTTGCTTTGTTGAAGGTTTCCTTTGCTCTGCAGAAGCTTTTTATTTTGATGTAGTCCCAGTCGTTTATTTTTGCTTTTGTTTCCTTTGCCCTAGGGGACATATCTAGAAAAATACTGCTACCACTAATACCAGGGAAATTGCTGCCTATATTCTCTTTTAGGATTTTTATCATTTAAGGTCTTACATTGAGGTCT